TTTTTTTTGTTCCTCAAATGCCTTGCTTTCTCTCCCTTTTGAGATGTCTATGCTCCCTACAGACTTATTGTGCATCTCTTTGGTAACTTGGGATGCGTCTCTTCACTTGTTTGGCACCCCCCAGCCAGCTTCTCAACTCACTTTTCTGGCAACTGTGAGAGATGTTACACTCGATTTGTTAAAGTGCAGCCATTTGCTGCAGACTCTCCAGTGCACAGAAGACATTATCTTTATAAATGACAGAATGGACCTTGCCTGAATAGTGCTTTGTTTACTGTTTAACAAAAAGGAGGCCCCACTCTATATTTCATCTGTCACCGTTGCTTTTCTTTCCTTCAACAATACTCGATTGTTTCAATGAAAATTTCAGGTTCCATGAACAGAAGAATTCTGTATTATTATGATCCTGCCAAATTCCGATCTCTGTTTTCCTTGTCCTGCTCACAAAGGGCTCATAACTTACTGTCAACTATGAGGCCACAAAGCTCCACTGTTGCTCAGCAAATAGGGTTGTGTTGGTTGATGGCTTGACTTGCTGTGAGGTTTGCATAAGAGCAGCAGCAGTAGCAGTAGCAACAGAAGGCTCTTTGGGAACTCCGTCCCCCAGTAGGCCCACAGAAAACAAGCGAGTAAAAGAAAGAGAGGTAAAACAACAACAAGCTTTTCTTGTCTCAGTATTATATTTTTCTCCACCCAGGAAGGGAAACAGTTCGTCTGGTGAAGGAGACTGCTGAAAGTTGTTGTTCTGATACTGTTAGTGTCTTCTGTTGAGTGTGTTTTGACTCGCAACATCCAGTATGCTCCTCTTCTAGTGGATCATTTCTGCTGAAGAATGACGCAAGTCCAGAGAAAAAAAGGACAGCAGTGAATTTTTTTTTGGACGGCCAACCTTCATTTGTGAAAGCATACGCATGAGTGAACTTGTGTGTGTCCTGGGGAACTGAGAGGCTGTTATGCCATCCAGCTCTGAGCTTGTGTCCTGGGATCAGGAAAAGGGCCAAAGGCACAGGGGACCCAAGAAGAAGAAGAAGGAAGCAGAGGAGGAGGTAGAAGAGGAGGGGGCAATGAGGGATTCAGTGTGTGAGTGCTCATCGACCCTTCCTGAGTAGACAGACAGGGACACTTAAGCACTCTCACACCTGCATCTGCCTTTGCCTTGCGTGGGGGGCAAGGACACCAACCAGGCTGTCATGGCAGCTGCACAAGTGTTTAAAGTGAGATACACGGGAGTTCCTCTAGCAGCATATTATTGCAAATAATCTACCCTGCAAAGTAATTATCAAGGCTCTGCTCAATATGTAAAGTGTGCACTTCAGGTGGCTTGCTTAATTTGCTCTGGGTGGCTATCATTTCAGTGCGGATTTTAGCTGTGGTAACCGTGGCAGTTTCTAATAGAGAAGGCATCAGGAGAGAGTGTGAAGTGAGGATGAAGTGCCGCCGGAATTGAGTTGACTTTTTGCAAAGGAAGGTCAAAAATAATGGAAGAACAATTTAAACAAATTCATTTAGACAACTCTCCAGTCCCAGTAGAGTAGGTTACCTTTTTTGGAAAATCTGTATTTTCTCAACCATTTACTATATTTTAATATCAATATCTGTAATTACTTTTTCAATTTAAATCAATTTTGTATCACCTGCTCAAAGTGACTTATAAAAATTCTAGCATATCTTTTTATTCTGTAAGAATAACACAATAGACAAACATATGTGTGTGTGTGATGTCTAAGTATGCGCCTGTGTGTGTGTGTGTGTGTGTGTGTGTGTGTGTGTGTGTGTGTGTGTGTGTGTGTGTGGAAAAAGAGGCTACCCGTGAGCAGTATACAGCCCGTGTTACGAGTTGATTATGTATCCAGAAACCTGGCTGCTGCACAGCATGGCACAATCACAATGGAGGGTGATAATTTAATTGTGCTAAACGGTGGATTCCGTGTCAATGCTCCTCCAGCTGGGAGCTGTCAGGTAGT